TTATACTTACCACATTGTTTTTATGTGCACGAAGTGACACTTCATCGTGGCCACAGACTATCTCTTGTCTAATATCTCCATTTTCTTCGTTAATTCTAAGACTTAAACGCTTAAACCTTTTCTTGCCACTTTCAGCAACACTTAAATCTTGTATACCTACTGGGTGCCATGATTGCTTGGCAGATTTAAGATATGGCCATTAAAAGATATAAACTCCTAGCAGAGGATGGTATGTATTACACATGTATGAACTGAAGACTGGGACAAGGGTGGTGAGGGTGGTGGAGTGTGGTGTAGGGTGGCGGAGGTGGTGGAGGTTGCCAAAGGTTGGCGGTAGGTCTCCCCTGTTAACTCAATGGTCTAACCCACAGTCAAGCAGTGTGTATCCTGTGGGCAATGCTATCAAAATTTTTTCCCCTCCCACAAACTGAACCATGTTAAGTTAATGTTACGAAGTGTTATACAAAAATATACAACAATTCTTAAATAGTCCTATAACCAAAACGTGCCAAACAAAACCGTGTTAAACGACAGTCTACTGTATTTTTTTCTGAAATGGTTGAGAATCTTTTCCTGAAGGTAATAATACCAAAAATACAAAATTCAATGGAAAACTTACAGAATTACGTAGACACAAAGTTAGCGATCTGGATGCATTTTAGAAATTGGCAACTTTGCTGATTGAATCCTATATTAAGCAAATTCTCTCACTCAATCTGACCAAAGTCTTAGTTATGTCACTAGTACCCTTTCCATTCTAATGAGTGAATACAAGAAACCCGCCAATTCAGTAATTTGGCAATTTTACACAAAATTTAAAAAAATAAAATTTAACCCTTTCAGTGGCCACCATTGAAGCCAGGGTCAGTCCCTCATGTAGTTCAATATCATATGCTCAGCTCACTCAGATAAGCTGTGAGCAGTAAATTTTGGTCAATGTATGAGAGATTGGATCCATGTAGAGAGTGAGCAGAGAATATTTCTAGATTTGCATTTTTATTATGAAAAATATTAAAATGATTGGTCATTAGGGCCCCAAACTTTAGGTTAACCAGGGAAATAATAACCCTAGACATGTCCCTATATACAATGTACTTACCATATAACAACAAAAAATAACAGCTATTTACTAAAAGCTCTGCTGCAAGATCCAGAGTCACTTGTATTGTGGCAGTCATCAAGTATACCAGTATATGACCAACATCTGTCCTACACAACTCATCAAGTGTACCAGTACATAACCAATATCTACCCTACATAATTCAACAGTGTACCACTATATAATAAACACCTATCTAACACAATCTATTAAATCTACAAGCATATAAGAAGTGCCTATCTAACATAACTATCCATTCCGCAGTTAACCCTTTCAGGGTCCAAGGCCAAAATCTGAAGTGGTGCTCCAGTGTCCAAGAAATTTTGAAAAAAAAAAAAAAAAAAAAAAAAAAAAAAAAAAAAAAAAAAAAAAAAAAAAATCTTGCAGAATTAAAGAGTATATTTTTGTGAAGGTAATAAGACAACAAAAAAAAATTTCTGATCAGTACTTACCGAGATACAGTGCCGAGAAGTTTACCCAAAATGACAGGGTGGCGGCAACATCGATGATTTCCACACACATGCATTACTTTACTTAACGTTTTTTATATTTTTTTTTCTTTTTTAATTTTTTCTTTTCCTACTAACATTTGGGGCCTGAGAGACCAATACTGTATATAATGTATATATATAAACTCACTGTATTTAACACAATAACCACACTAAAGTTATTATCATATTATTGTTTACAACTTTTGTTTATTACAATAAACATGCACAAATCTTGTATTATACTAATGTTCTATCATGTATTTACATATTTACAATCACTGGACATGGTTTTAGAACTGCTGAAGCTTGTGGAACTCCTTGAAACAAGGCACCATGCACAGAGGTACCTTACATTCCTCGCACATAAACTGAGTCTTTGCGTCTTTGTTGCCGTCGTTTTGTTTGTGCAGACAATGCATCTCTTTTGAGCAAATTTCTTCTTAGTTGCAGGAAGCTGTATTATGAAATAATCACCTTCCCTCCTCAAACGCTTGGGTATATTCTGAGGAATTCGAGGACCTTGTTGTATAGTAGGTGTTGTTACCTGGTACTTCATTATGAGTTGTCTGACAACAGACAAACAAAATTCACCATACGGTTGTCTGTTACCAGTCTTCATTTGGTACAGATTATATGCATTGAGCATTGAAATGTCCATGAGATGAAAGAAAAGTTTCATGTACCACTTGTAACTCTTACAAACACAATCAACAAAGCCAATTTGCATGTCACATTTGTCAACGAAGCGCATGTTTTGTGTATAATCAATCACTGTCACTGGTTTTCGAAAATGTTCATTAGTCACTCGATCAACTTTGCCACTGTCTTGCATTTCATTACGGTGAATGGTTGTCAATAATGTGACATCTCGTTTGTCATGCCACCGTAATGCCATGATGTCATTGGCAGTAAACACCTGCACATCATCACCACGAGCACCTGCGTTGAACCTGGGCATATATTTACAATTAGAACGCACTGTGCCACACACATCTGTCTTGTTCACTCGCAAGAAATAACTGGGTAAAGGGCTTGTGTACCAGTTATCGATATATAATGTATGCCCCTTACCAAAATCAAGTGCCATCATACTTCTCACTATGTCACCTGAGATATCCAATAACATCTTGGTATCTTTCAATGTTTTACATCCAGTGTATACAACAATATCCAATACCAGGCCACTGTCACACTCACAGAGTACAAATAGTTTTATACCAAAGCGTTTCCTCTTGCTCGGTATATACTGCTTGAATGACAGCCTACCTTTGAACAAAATGAAAGACTCGTCAATTACAAGATTCTTGAATGGATAAAAGTACATATTGAACTTTTTTTTTGAGATATATAAAAACATTTCTAATCTTGTATAACCTGTCACTTCTGTCAGGCCTGGTTTTGTCACAGAAGTGCAACATACGTAACAGTAAGATAAACCTGTTCACTGGGATGATTTCACTGAAGACCGGGGTACAAATTAGCCGATCAGTGGACCAGTATGCTTTTATATTATGCTTATAGACATGAGGCATAAGTATTATTGTTGCAAAAAGCAAATACATTTCTGCAACAGTCCGTCTCTTCTCCACCGGTGTAGTCTTGACTGTGGTGATATGTCATATTTGCCATGGTGTACTCAAAATACTTGTTACTTTCCATGACAATAGTTTCCATCAAGGGCTGGTCAAAGAATATTTCAAAAAATTCCAGTTCATTGGCCGTGGTTCCAAGGGTACAAGTAGGTAGAATTCCACTTTGAGAGTCATCAAAGTGGTGGGGCTTGGAAAAACATTGGGATTTTGCTGCCAATCCCAGATTACGGTTTGCTGGTGATACTGACGTCATAGGCTGGTTGTGCGGGTAGTTGTGGTTGTGGTGGGCTGGTGGCTGAGAGTCAGCAGCGTGGGTCCCAGCCTGGGCTGGTGAGTCACCCATGGCCGTGGCACTACCATCACCACTACCACCATCTACTGATGCCTGTGGTCTATCCATGCCAAGTGTAGCCACATCATCCTCACTTTCACTGTCTATTCCTGGTGTAGGGCCACGGGATGTACTCCTTCCAATGGGCACTGCATAGGGTACACTACCCGAGCGCATGCAGCAGCATATATACTGACGCTTCACTGGTGAATATGTTTCCTCACTATCACTACTCGAATGATCGTCAAGAGCAATAAAATCACAATCCACGTCACTATCATCATCATTACTGAAGTCAGAGGCCTGGCCACGCAAAAATCATAGTTTTCTCTTGCAATGAGGTACAACTGACCGTGACTGAGGAGTGCCCACACCAGAGGTAGAAGGTTGAGGATCGTCAGGGTTTTCTGCACTATTATCGATATCCTGGTCATTCCTTTCGGTCACTAACTGATCAAAGCCAAAGAATTCGTCTTCATTTCCACTTCCATCAGAGTCAGAACTATCAGATAGGAAGAGAAGAGTCCCAATTTTCCTTGGAGTGAGAGCTGCCTTGCGACGAGGCATGGTGAACAAAGGTAACTGAGCCAGCGTTCCCACAATGCTATGCAGGCGCCTAGAATTTTTGTTTACGTCACACACCCACCACGCAGACCCGTTCTTTCACATGTAGGCCTATGTGCGTTTTCGCGCTAAATTTGACGCCGCTAGAATTTTGGCATAGATCTACGGTTTGGACCCTGAACGTGAAGCCGTAGATCTACGGGACGGACCCTGAAAGGGTTAACACTATCACTTTTGCAGCAACTCAATTATTGAATATAAGGACACAGTTTTGTATACTCATTGAATCTTTTTAAAGTCTTTCTTCATATTTTTATAAACATCATGGCCCTCTGTCTGCTAATGATTTACAAACGTGTTTGCCAAATCCTGATACAAATTGACTGTATTAAAAGAGCAACTTAAAGGGCTTAAGATTTGTTTACAGATTACAATTTGGTACAGTTTCATACTTAACTTACATTAGTTACACTTCAATTTTTGTAACCATAGTTGCGATAAAGATACGATAAACAATCAATATTAAAATTCATATTTTTGTATATGTATATAATCAATACCCTAAGCATTAAATACAACAAATATGCATTTATTAATTAAAATAACACTCCATTTAAAACAAATCATATATCTTAAGGACTACTGGCTACAAAATATGATGACTAATTAGCTACCTGTATCTGTTATAAATGGCTATATACTAAAAATGACCAACCAAATCATCTTGAGGAATTCCTGAATGTACTTTAACATCTACATCTACCGGCAAGCAAAAACTTAACTTCTGAATAGCTAAGAGCAAAGCTTGAGTAATACTCGTCAGTGATTGAAGTTTTTTACAGCATTATTCTTGCATTTGCAGTAGGGAGCATATGCCGAGCAGTCTTATTATTATTTTAGCTTGGGTGAGCATTAAATCGTACCTCTGAGTTTCTGGGGTGTTCATCATCAACTTCTCAATCAAGTAGGAAGCAGATTCATTGAGGGTCATGGTGTGGGAGGTCCTGCTAACATTATCAGGACTAGGAGTGCGCATCCTGGCGGGAGACGTGATACTCATGTCAGTCCCCTGTTCGCTAGATGCATTATCACTACCTTGATGTTAGTCCACTCTCTATTACTGTCAATTGTGGTTCTACTTTTAGCCTCTCAAATAATTAGCTCACCTTATTCCATTTATTAGCATACATCAGTTAAAGTGGGTTAGTACTGTACTTGAGAGGTAGTTATTCTAATTTTCTTGAATACTAGATCTGTGATAAAACAGCCATCAACCAAATGCATATTTCACTTGATAGGTTAGGTACACCATGATATAATCATAAGCTGAGGTTAGGCAGTGAAATTCTGATGCACTCCCTCAGTATTAACAAAGGACATGCTCTGCAAAAAGCTTACAGTACCATTCAATGCCATTTTAGTTAAGCTGCAGTAAAATTGAGCCATGTAACAGGCATATAACATATATGAGGGTTGAGGGTCTGAGAGCTACTCTTGGATCCAGGAGCCAAGCTCATGGATAGCCTCCTAATACCACATGGGAATCAAGGTTACAGGATCCAGGTTTGCACAGAATGGCAATACTATACGAGTCATGGATCTGGGATCCCATATAATTGGTATAAGGACACAAAACAAATTTACAGTATGGCAAATTTCCAAGTGCAAAACTAAAGGATCCCAACTAAGTAAAGTGCTGTAGTAACATATAATGTTAGTGTTCTTGCCTTGTGTAACCAAGAATTTTTCAAACATGCAACAACTGCACTAAATTGTGGTTCAGGAGTTTAAAATATACATGCACATTCCAGAAGTTGTGTCACCTTACTTACAGAGTTGTTCAGTTTTAAGTTAAATAAAGAATTACATAGTATGTAAAATTTTCAAGTATAGATGTCATGTGATGTAAATGAGATTAACTTAATACTTCAGTAGAAAACCAAACTTTTGTAATTTATTCTCAGAAATGTTACATTTAACATACAATAGTAAAGTCAAAATCTACAGTACAGTACAAACATCCAGAAACAAAACAGGTATTTTTAAGCATGATATAAGGTAGAAGTGTGTGTGCAAATAACAAAAACTGCACTTTAACAAAGTATTTCAAAACTCAGAAAAATCACAAAAATGTGAAGTATATAAAGAGCTCCATTACATCTTGGGGTCCTCAAACCAGTAAATACAAGGAATCTTATGCTATTACAATTGCTTCAAGGTGTAATAATCTTTGAAAGTCTGTAAGTCATAATGTTTCATTTTCTTGGATTATCCTGGGCTTAATGTTCATAATGCCCATAACAACTGAGTGCTCAATACATTATTTTGTGTGTGTTTTTTTGCATGTGTGTGTTTTGTGAGTGTGCGTGTTTCATGTGTTTTTGTGTGTGTTTTTGTGTGTTTTTGTGTGTGTTTTTGTGTGTTTTTGTGTGTGTTTTTTGTGAGTGTGTGTTAAAGTGTATGTGGGTGTTTTAGGTTGTCTGTTTTTTTAGGTTGTCTGTTTTTCAGGTTGTCTGTTTTTTTCAGTTGTCTGTTTTTCAGGTTGTCTGTTTTTTCAGGTTGTCTGTTTTTCAGGTTCTCTGTTTTTCAGGTTGTCTGTTTTTCAGGTTGTCTGTTTTTCATGTTGCCTGTTTTCCAGGTTGTCCGTTTTCCAGATTGTCTGTTTTCAGATTGTTTTTTTAGGTTGTCTGTTTTTTAGTGTCTCTTTTCAGGTGTCTCTTTTTCAGGTGTCTCTTTTCAGGTGTCTGTTATTTAGGTGTCTGTTATATTAGGTTCTGTTTTAGGTGTGTTTTTTAGATGTCTGTTTTTAGGTGTCTGTTTTAGTGTCTGTTTTTAGGTGTCCGTTTTTAGGTGTCCGTTTTTAGTGTCCGTTTTAGGTGTCCGTTTTTTAGGTGTCCGTTTTCAGGTGTCCGTTTTTAGGTGTCCGTTTTTAGGTGTCCATTTTTAGGTGACCGTTTTTAGGTGTCCGATTTTAGGTGTCCGATTTTAGGTGTCTGTTTTTAGTGTCTGTTTTTAGGTGTCTGTTTTTAGGTGTCTGTTTTTAGGTGTCTGTTTTTAGGCTGTTTTTCAGGTTATCTGTTTTTGGGTTGTCTGTATTTTAGGGTGTGCTTTTTAGGTTGTCTTTTTTAGGTTCTGTTTTTTTAGGTTGTCTGTTTTTCAGGCATCTATTATTTAGGTGTCTGGTATTTAGGTGTCTGGTATTTAGGTGTCTGGTATTTAGGTGTCTGGTAATTTAGGTGTCTGGTATTTAGGTGTCTGTTATTTAGGTGTCTGTTATTTAGGTGTCTGTTATTTAGGTGTCTTTTGTTAGGTGTGTTTTTGAGTGTCTATTTTACAGGTTTCTGTTTTTTAGGTTTCCATTTTTTAGGTTTCTATTTTTTAGGTCTCTATTTTTTAAGTCTCTCCTTTTCAGGTGACTGTTATTTGGGTGTCAGTTTTAGGTGTGTTTTTTAGGTGTCTGTTTTCAGGTGTATTTTTTAGGTTGTTTTTCAGGCTGTCTGTTTTTCAGGTTGTCTGTATTTTAGATTTTTTTTACGTTGTCTGTTTTTTAGGTTGTCCATTTTTAGGTGTTCTTTTTCAGGTGTCTGTCATTTAGGTGTCTGTTTTATAGATGTCTGTTTTTTAGATCTCAATCCTAATGTCGCTAAAGCTAACTTATGACGCTGAGCTTGACTCTATCATCATTACTGATTCTATGTAATCACTGAATGCTCTTAACTCATATAATAACTCCAACAACATGCTCATTGAAGAAGCCAGGTATAGATACTCAAAAATCAGGGACAAAGGAATTAATGTACAATTGCTATGGAAATAAATGGTATAAAATACCGACACAATGGCAATATAAACACAAATGCAGTATAATGTGATCCTTTATTGACTACGTTTCGCCCACACAGTGGGCTTTTTCAAGTCACAAACAGAACTACCTGGGGTGGAAGGAACGCGAGTATTTATAGTCCGGCTGAGGTCAGGTGAAGAATGCTGCATCTGATGATGTACCGAGTGGGGTTATAGAGTCTAAAAACTTGGGTAGCTTAGAAAGGAGATTGGACAAGTTGTGAGCAGACCTTCTACAGTGTTCTTATGTGGGATAGCGATGAAGAAGTTTCTTGGCAAGTGGTTCAGCTATGTTATAGAAGCCACTATTCTGGTTGAAGTTGTCGGATATAGAAATAAGTGATGATTCCAGGATTCTTCGGTATTGAGTGTTGTCTTCTGTGGCGATAAGTCTTGAGTTTCTGTAGTTTATCAAGTGGTTGTGTGAATTACGTGTTGTACGCAGGCATTCCTTGTGTCGTCAGACCTGCTTGCGTATTGGTGTTCTGAAATACGTGTTTGGAGGTCCCTTGATGTTTCGCCCACGTATAACTTGTTGCAGTCATTACAAGGGATTATGTATACCCCTGCAGAGGATGGAGGCTTGTCCTGCCTACTACTGTGATGTCCTTGATGGTCGTGTTGTGGAGGTAGATACTTGGAATGATGTTTTGGCAAAGATGTTGGAAACATGTTTGGCAATGGAGTTGGTGGGAAGGACTATGTATCTCTTCTCGGCAGTGACTTCTCTGGGTGTGTTGAAGATGTTTAATGCTCGCCGTCTGCAGTCTCTGATGAAGTGACGAGGATAGTGGAGTTTAGAAAATATTTGTTCAATTATAGTGCATTCTTCCTCAAGGAACTCGTTGCTGCAGATTCTGAGTGCACGTAGGAAGAAGCCTATAATTACACCACGTTTGGTTTTGGTGTCGTGGTGAGAAGAAACTTCTGCACACCATGCCCAGCAACCCCAGACCTGCCAGAATGTACGGCCTGCCAAAGACTCACAAGCCTGGTATCCCACTGAGGCCCATATCCTCGGGAATAGGCAGTGCTCCCCACCAGCTCTCAGGAATTCTCGCCAAACACCTCTCTAAACTCTTGGGCACTATCAGTCCAGCACATCTCAAACACTCAGGTGATCTTCTCAATCGCATTCGCAACATAAACCATCAGGAACAAGAAATTTTCCACCCTTTGACGTGACTTTCCCTATTCACCAAAGTACCTACTACACAAGCCATCGATCTCTTGCGCAAAAAATTGACGATTCACTTGATCTTCCCATTCCAGCCAGCGATTTTCATCGACCTTGTTGAACTATGTGTTGGCTTTCCCGTGTTTCTCTTTCGAAAATCACCTCTTTCAGCAGACTTTTGGACTACCCATGGGTTCGCCACTCAGTGCAGTCCTGGCGAACCTATACATGGAACATCTAGAAGCCGAACGTTTCTCCACCATTATTTCCTTCGTCTGTCCCCCTGGCTCCGTTATGTTGACGACATTCTCCTCATAACTCCCAAACGCTTCAACGTTCAAGCTCTCCAAGACAACTCAAACCCGTCGAACCTTCAATCCAGTTCACACTTGAAGAAGAAGTCGACAACACTCTTCCTTTCCTTGATGTCCTGCTCTGCAAAGCTGACCCCGAACTTCGTTTTAAAGTCTATCGAAAACCCACCACCCAAAACATCTTCTCCACTTCTACTCTCACCACGACACCAAAACCAAACGTGGGTAATTATAGGCTTCTTCCTACGTGCACTCAGAATCTGCAGCAAAAGAGTTCCTTGAGGAAGAATGCACTATAATTGAACAAATATTTCTAAACTCCACTATCCTCGCACTTCATCAAGACTGCAGACGGCGAGCATTAAAAAATCTTCAACACAACCCAGAAAGTCACTGCCGAGAAGAATACATATCCTTTCCCCCCAACTCCATTGCCAAACATGTTTCCAACATCTTTGGGCCCAAAAAATCATTCCAAGTACTACCTCCACAACCACGACCATCAAGGACATCACAAGTAGTAGTGCAGGACAAGCCTCCATCCCCCTGCAGGGGTATACATAATCCCTTGTAATGACTGCAACCCAAAATACGTGGGCGAAACATCAAGGGGCCTCCAAACACGTATTTCAGAACACCAATACCAAGCAGGTCTGACGACACAAGGAATGCCTGCGTACAACACCGTAATTCACACAACCACTTGATAAACTACGAAACTCAAGACTTTTCGCCACAGAAGACAACACTCAATACCGAAGAATCCTGGAAAACATCACTTATTTCTATATCCGACAAATTCAACCAGAATAGTGGCTTCTATAACATAGCTGAACCACTTGCCAAGAAACTTCTTCATCGCTATCCCACATAAGAACACTGTAGAAGGTCCCGCTCACAACTTGTCCAATCTCCTTTCTAAGCTACCCCCAAATTTTTTAGACTCTATAACCCCCCTCGGGACATCATCAGATGCAATTTTTTCACCCCCAAAATTTTTTAAATTTTTTTTTTTAAAAAGGGGGGTTTTTTTTTTTTGGGGTTTTTTTTTTTTAAAAAAATTTTTTTTTTTGGGGAAAACCCCCCTTTTGGGGTTTTTTTTTTTCCCCCCCCCCCTTTTTTTTTTTTTTTTTTCCCCCTTTTTTTTTTTTAAAAATTTGGGGTTTTTTCCATTTTGGTGGTTTTTTTTTTTTTTTTTTTCCCTTTTTTTTGGGGGTTTTTTTTTTTTAAAACCCTTTTGGGGTTTTTGGTTTTTTTTTTTTTCCCCCCCTTTTTTTTTTTTTTTTTTTTTTAAACTTTTTTAAATTTTTCCGGAAAAACCCCCCCCTTTTTTTTTTTTGGGGGGGGGGTTTTTTTTTTGGGGTTTTTTTTTTTGGGGTTTTTTTTAATTTTTTTGGGGTTTTTTTAAATTTAAATTTTTTTTAAAAATTTTTTTTTCCCCTTTTTTTTGGGCCCAAAAAGGGGTTTTTTTTCCCTTTTTTTTAATTTTTTGGGGGTTTTTTTTTAAAAATTTTTTTTTTTTTTTTTCTTTTTTTTTTTTTGGGGGGTTTTTTT